TTTTTTATATGAATTTGAATAAGGTGTCTCTTTTAAATTCTTCGAAGAATTTAAAAGAGACACGCTAAACGTTGCGTTGGATAAGCTGATTATGGATTTAAACAAAAGGAGCCAAGTCTATGAGATGTATAGCAAGAAATTCCAATTTTTAATGGATTTGCAAGACAAAAATATGGATCTTGAAAGTGTACGTAATATTGTTGATTATTATCCAGATGGCGTAGACGAGCATTTAGTGAATGAGTGCATTCAGTTAAAATCTTATTTACTTCAGTCTAAGCTCTTGCAGTCAAATTTTTATGCTAATTTATGAAAAGAAATTTGTTGACGTTTTCCCAAATTGCTACACTATCTTAAGGATTTTTTTAACTTTTGCCAATCACTAGCTGTGAAGCTGAGCGCTCTTTCTCCAGGATGTCATATATAGAAAACAAATATAGGACAACAATGTCGAACCATCGACTAAATCATTTATCAGTTCTTTACATAAATTGTGATTTAACGAAGGACTTACAATGTGATGAGCAAATAAAGAAATTTGCAGCGCAAAAATGCAGAAAGGTTGCTTTATAATTTATATAACATAACTACACATAACCTGTCAATTTCTTTTGCAATAATGTTGTACAGTTGCTGTTTGTATAGACCAGAGGTCGCCAAAGTGGTCTATATAGACCCCCAGGGGTCTATTTAACAAAAGTGGGGGTTGATCTGAGCCAGGGGATCGATTGGGAGTCGAAGAAAAAACAATTCTTAATGCGCAAATCACACATACCTAATTAAGTATGTAAAATTTGTAATTTTTTTTATAATAGACTTAATATCAGTTTCTATATAGAACATAAATTAATAAACGTATATTNTTTTTTTCTATATACTTATCTACATTCCTATAGAAAACAGTTTTTTGACAAAACGGCTATTAGGGCCCCAAAGTAGTTTCAGCCCAGGGCCCCACAAATTCACGATCCGCCCATGATTCTAAGATTTAATTATACCTTAATTTAAGGGTCGCAATTCAATCTCTATCATGAAAAAAAAAGCTATGTAAGTGAATTTTGTGGGTAAGTAAATTTTGTGATTGATTCTATAACATAAATTATTTTCGGCACAAATAAGCTAGCTCATGAAACTAATTGTGTGACTTAAAATCTTTTTAATATAGCTATTAAAATGAATCTAAAAAAATTTGATTCAAAAACTATTAATAATTATAATTTTTATTATTTAATTTAATGACGTTCAAAAAAATTTTGAATGATATAATTTTCACGTCACATTACGCAATTTTAAATCGCTACATAGAAAATTTTATTCTTATCAGATCAGTTGAGTGGCTCATGAAAAATTAAAAATAATGTCGTTCTTTTATATTTTAATTCAAGGTTTCATCGAAACATTGATTTTGTTTGATAAACATTTTTAAACAGTTGTAATTCTATTAGTTTTGATATCCTATCATTACTGAATTAAATATTAAAAATTATTACAATTATTCGATTGATCCTGAATGATTATTTGTTTAATATTTTATCTCATTTTCGTTATCCGTTATTTGAAAACTAATTTGTTCTGATTAAAGAAATAAAAATTTAAGAAGAAACTTTTTTCTGAAACTTATTTAAAATCATACTTATTTTTGTAAAAATTGAATATGACGGAAAATAATCTTTTGTAAAAATTTTAATAAAGTAGGTTATTTTTTTCCCCAACACACTTTTAAAACAATAATGTCCAAAAATACTTTTTTTTTAAAAAAAAATCGAAGTTTTCATTTATTCATTTTTTTAATCAAATGGTACAAACTTACTATTGTGAAAAAAGTATGCAAGTTTATTCGCAAATATGCATCATGTGATTGAAAAAAAAAAAACTCAAATCCCGATATCTGTCATTAAAAATTTTAAATAAATGAGTGTATTTTAAAAACTTATTTACACAATAAATTCAAACTCTAATTAAGGTAAGGAAAACTTCTCGAGCATTTTATATTTTTCTCGAAGAAATTCGTGGTAAAAATTTGCTTTTGAGAATCAATAAAAATAATTTTTAAATACAGTCTTTTAATTAGAACTTGCATACGCGATTTTGTATTGCCTCGTACTACAGAGTGTAAATTACTTCTTATTTCAACAACACCAAAAAAATTTCACAAAAAATTCGAGTAAAACTTTGAATACGATTTTTTTTTTAAATTTTGTTTAATTATTTCAGATGCATAGAAAAATTTAAATAGTAAGAGAATGTACATTCAAAACAGTAAAAAGAAAAGTTAGAAAAAGAAAACGTACATTTAAAACAAATGATGTATGATGAATGACACTTTAAGAGCTATTTGTACTGAGAAAATAATCAATACTGCATTGACCCCCCCCCCCACAATAAGACAAAATCGTGTTCTTGAGAGAACTTTATTTCATTAATTCTTATTTAGATAATTAAAGACAATAATATTTAGGTCTTATTAAATATAATCGATTTTATTTATTATCTTTTCCTTCGGCGCCCTTGATTCGTCCCTTCCAAGGGTGTCTTTAAAATTTGAGGGGAGATAAAACAGTATTTTACGATATCGCTAAATATTTACATATCTGGCCGGGCATATAAGGGTAAAAAAATGCATATCACGGGTACGCGGGCAATTTAATTTTCGATCAATGCTCAAAACAGGATTTGAAAAACAATTTTAAATTTACGCTTTCATATATAAGGTGAGTATTCAAAAATAAATATAAGCTTTAAAAAAAATAAATATATATATTAAAAAACTAAAAATAAACAAACAAAAGAAAGAACGGTCGAATAAACAAAACCCCAATTATTAAATAAAAATAAACGAGCCGAAATTGAAACTAAGAGGAACAGCAAGATATTTTTTCAATCCCTTCTTTATTTTAATTCAAGCATTTGGCTAGATTATAGGCTTTGATTGAATTATGAATATTCATAGTTAGTTATGCCCTTTTATTTCTTCATTAGGTATAAATGATTGCTTGGTAATGAGTTTCTCTCATAGAAGCTTCAACTTTTAAAGAGCGTAATATAAATTAATTATATTTCATGGCGATATTTGTTATAATCAAAAGACTAGATCTTATTTCTTCCCTACCATTTGCAGGGTTATTCCTTCTGCAATTATTATTATTATTATTAATGCCCTATTTTGTTTTGATTTAGCATCAAAATTCGAAATATCTACTAACCTATGTTTTACCCATATAAAATTAGTAAGTATATCGCTAAAAATGACTAGTTAAAAAAAAGTAACTATAAATTTGTAAAATAAATTTATGTTTCACAACCAGACATTAATGTTATTAATAAAATGTAAATAATTAATTTTTCTGTTATCTTAAAATAAAAATACTGCATTTACCCTAAAAGAAATGCAGTTTTCTTTTTTAAAAAATGAAGAAAAGAGCAAATTCTTAAATGACTGTGTTAAAATTCAAATTTTAAATGAAACAAACGATCTTGTTTCAAAAGACAGAACTCATGAACGAGTACATTCTGGAAAATGGGTGCATTTCCGAAGTCTTAATTAGTAATCAATGGCCTTTTTTACCATTTTACAAAAAATTTACCGATATTCACTTCACCTGCTTTTTCAAACAGCTTTTTTTACCAGCACCCAAAAGTTAATCCATGGGATAAAAAAATCTAAGCAGTTTATTCTTAAAGCAGACGATTATTAAGTCAATACTTTAAAATCTCTTTCTTTTTTTTAAAAGTGACCTTTATATCTCTGATGAACACAATAGAATAAGCCAAACTTAGTAAAAAATTAAAAAAGTAAGTATATCATACCGTTAAAAAAAAAAACTTTGACATTTGTTTTCGAAAGGATAGCACAGATAATCAACAAAAGCGAGTAGAGGACATTGAAATTATTTGCCGGGATACATTTCTTTGCATACATATTCTTCATAGTTGCAGCAAATTATTTAACGAAAAGGAAAAAAAAAACTTTTAAAAACTTAAGTTTTAGACAGTTTTTTTTCCTTTTCACGTCGATAACAACGTGGATATCGACGTGGTGAAATGGCACCCAAATGTTGATTGCATAAATTTGTCGTTCTTTGGCTCATTTAAGAGTTTTAAGCAAAAGTATTAAATCAGTAATTACTGCCACTCCTTTTTTCATTATATTTATTTAGGATGCAAAGTAAAACAAAGATGCCAAGCAATTGCGATTCGTGTATGCGAAATCGGAAAGACGAATAAGAATCTGATTGGTGAAAATTACAAATTTTAGTCACAAAAAACTCGCCAATCAGATTCTTTTCCCTCTCGTAGCTGAATTCACAAACGTGATGTTTTTATATGCAGTGAGAAGAGCACTTCAAGCGTTTGAAATTTAAGTGCTTGAGTGAGAATGGTTCCTATACGGGGATTTTATTTTTATTAAAGTCTCATTGGCGATTGCATTAAAGCTGTGCCAGTGAAATAACAATTGAAAAAAAGATCACTTTTTGTGAAAAGATCCATTTCAGCTTAATCATGATTAAATGAAAACTTAAAATATGGTTTTATGAATGATATATATATTTTTAAGAGCTTCAAAAATATCTTCTCATATGTTTTTTGTAAAAAATAAAATACTTGCACTTTGATTTAATACCGTTCATTACGTCACTGCGTGTCAAAGACTGCAGTGTTTCTCACGAAGTTCTTGTTTGTATTAAATTATTCTGTAATTAATTTGTTAATCTAAATACTTCTTAAAGAAACAAATAATTTAGTTAAAAATGTAAGTTTCTATTTAAAGCATGTACATTCATACTGTTTAACATTATACTTACCACTTAAAATACGTATTGATTGAATGCCAAGATGTGACATTAAAGCGATAAATAATTTATTTCGCCGCATATTACATTTTATTAGTGCATTTGTATTTCAGAAACTAAAATTCTGTTTATATAAATTCTGTTTTTTATTGCAAGAAACATTGTTTTTCTTGTTGATTTTAATTCGCATATGCGTATTCATATAAATTTCTTGATTTTTATTTTACTATGCGATCAAGAAAGGCTAATGTTTTGCGTCAATTTCTTAAATTGTTTTATCAAATTAAAAACATTTAGCTATTTTGCATAGTTTAAAAACTTCTTTTATGGTTTGTGTTTTACTATATTATATATTTCTCTCTATATTAGATACATATTTAAAGATAATTTATAAATATCTAATGGAATGTGTTACTTGAAACAACAATTCCTAAACATTAGAAAATGCTGTACCACCATTCCTAACCATTATCGTCCAAACATAAATCTAATGATTTTATTTATTTTTATTTTGTATGTGTATGAAACTGAATATGTATACATATACATGGATAGTAGAGTATGTATTTTTTGTAACTATGAGGTTTTTTTGACATGTATTTTTAAAGTTCCTAATTGTTATATTGTAATCTAATTTGAGTAATATACAGTCCTCATTACATATAGTCTATATTAATACCCCATAGTCTATATTTATAACTATCTTATTTTAATCAAATATTTTTTATTATCTTATAATTGTAATTTAGCCTACGCTGTGTAATTTTTTCTTACATTACCACATTTTATTATATTAGGCAACCAAATGACATACCATATTTAATAGCTGATTTTATAGACAATTGGCTAAATTCAACTCATTTTAAGTTGAATAGTAACAAATTAAAGCTAATTTTACTTATATAATTATTCTCAATAGGTTTTAATTTATTTATATTATAAAAGTTGATAGGAATATATTTATTGAACAAGTTTATTGATCCTAAGTAGATTATTTACTTAAACTGTAGGTTATTTACAACGATGCAGTTGTAAATTTTATAACAAGGAAAAAATTTATGCTTGTGTTATATATGTTCTCAACATCATGTAGTTTAATTTAACTGAAATAAACCAAGTAGATTTAGACTAAAAATGAGTTAATACTTGAACAATGGGAAAAATGAGTATTCTACTGACACTTTATGTTAGTAGCTTCCTTTAACTTTCTGTTTTAAAGTTGACACTAAATATCAAATAAAAATTCTAAAATATTGTTTTGTTTATACTAAAGAAGACATCATGTGTACATATTTATAATAGGTTGACAGAACAACTTTATGAATATCTGGCAATACTTAATTGTTTAAATTGTAGCATTATCAGCATAGTTGATCAGACAGCCCAATGTGGGCCAATGCCTTCCTCCAAAGATTTCTCCATAATGACTTCAGATTTATATTTGATCTCCAATTCTTTTTCATTAATTCCAAGAATATCAGCCAGCCCCAAAAAAGCCAATAAATATTGTAGGATTTTAATAAAGTTTTAAAAAAATGTCTTAGACATGACACATTTTCACCGACTTGTAAGTTGCTATTTAAAAAAATTACAAAGAAAGGGTTAGTTACAGAGAAACTCACAGCATTAAACTTGTGAACTGTTTTTTCTATTTCGTCCTTTTCCTCATGGTTTTTGAAATGCTGACATCTTCAATATGACATAATTAGAAAAAGGATTTTTGTACTAGAATATCATTTGGATAATTCTACTTAAAAAAGAAGCAGTTTACAGGTAACATTAATTCTTCATTCACACTTGGTGTTGTGAAGAATGTATAAGATAATATTCGTGAAATAAAGTTCTTTATCAAATGTAGATTATATTAGTGTGAATAAGAGGCGAAGCAATAAAATAAATTGTCATTTAAACTCTTAAATTATAAAATGAAATAATGTATAAAATTAAATGTTTGTTAATTTACTTGCACTTTTAATTACTGTCGATGACCATTTGGAAATTTTTTATGCCCCTGAAAAAAAGCAGTCACTTTTTTTAATTTCTTATCACTGTGAGTCTGTTGAGATAATAACGAATTCAATTAATAAATATTTGTATTTCTTATTTTTTAAGTTTATTATTAACACAAATATCAAAATATGAGAATAGCATTTAATGAAGATTTTCAATAGAAACTATTTAGGCAACTTCGATTTCACATGAAATGTTTTTTATAAAATATGAAACTCATTTAATAAGTTATCATTCATCAATCAAGTTTTTTCTTTAAAAAATAAAAAAAATCTTGATACCTGGGATTATTTTGAATTTGTGTTGATTTCACAAATTTGACTTTGAAGTTTTGGGAAAAAAATATTCTTGAAGTTAATTTGGTATATTTGTTGAACAGATGAAAAATTTGAGTCTTGGGTTGAAAAAGGAAGAAAGAGAAAAACAAGTGTAAAAGGGGTCTTGAACAAATTTTAAAGTGATGTTAAACAAGAGAACAAAATGTACAATGTGAGAACAAAATGTAGTTAAGAATTATCAAACTGATTGTTCATGAATTTTCTGATTCAATTCAGATCATCTATATGACGTTATTCTATAAACCACAATTATCTATAAACTGCACTAGCGTGTAATTTGTGTTATGTAGTTTGTGGATGTAAGAGATGAAATCTGCAAAACTATGTAGGAACGATTAACCTTTCATTATTTGTTTAATTATTTGCTGAGAGGTGACAATTTAAAAAGCTAAGTAAAGCAGAATTCATTGATTTCTTTATTATTACATAGTAATAATGCTGCAGAAAATTTTGATTTTTTTTTTCTTGTAATAGTAAATACTTAAGTCTTTTTAAGTATTTGTATCTAAAAATTAAAGCATTTTAAGATTGATTTGTTCCAAACTAATATTGCTGTATTTAGTTGGCGAATTTAAAGATAAGTGAAATGAATATAAAATTCCATAAAATGTAAATCCTCAGGTCCTGAAGTTTGTATTATAAAGAACTTCTACTGCATAATAACTGGTAATTAATTCCATCATTTTAAAACTTTGGTTGGTACATGGAAGAAAAATAATTTTTTTAGCACACATATTCTTAAAGTTTAGGTATATTAGGCATAAAAAAACAATTTTTTCTGTTAGCTTTTTTATGATTTTCTTTCAATTATGATAGTGGAAATGCATTCTACCCTGGCCTTGCCCTATGCAATATTGTAGTCTCCGTTGGAGTATGGTTTCACTCTTTAGATATTATGTCTACTCATCTCTAATCTATGAGTAGTACTCATAGCCTGAACACCTGAATTGGTTTTTATTGAGTTGTATAAAAGGGTAATACTCTTTATCATTTTAATTATAATATGGGTCCTCTTCCTCTAAATCCTGGAAAGCAATAAGAATTTACTAATAAATTAAATTTTAATACTTGTTTATTTATGGATAACATCTTTTTCATTGCATATTACATGAAATTAATTTTTTTAACTTGTAGCTGATATCCAAAATCAGCAGTTTTAAGAGTTTCAAATTTTAGACCTTAAACTGTACAACCTTATTAAAAACATATTATATAACATAAAACATATAATTTTAATGCACCATATTGCCATATAGTTTTGTGATGCTTTAGCTTATATGATTTTAAAGTTTTAATCTATGTATATAATAAAATAAAGAATTTGTGTGTTTGTGCCTGTATACTGTCTTGCGGGTAAAATGTACTCTTTAAAAATATGAACTTCAACATGAAAGTAAGTGAGTAAAATTGTAAATAAATTATGAAGCATGATTTTTGATTTTTTAACTGTATTTTTTTATTCAGAGAATTTAAAAAAATTGAATTTCCCCTTTGGTTTAGTGGAGGCCATTTTTTTGAAGTAAACTATAAACAATTCAATTTTGTCAAATATATTAAAGATGAGATCAATGATGTTCGATAGCTTATAACTCTAATTAAAAAAAGTTAGCTTATTGCGTGTTCTGAACTATTTAATTATTTTTTATTCGTTATGCTACCTGAATGATCAACGTGATCATTGTAGCATTAGTGGACAATGTGATCAAATTAGAATTTTTAAGGTTACCTGAAACCACAGGTTAATTTTATTTATAGTCATGGTTTTAAAATTTGTTACTATATAACTAAAAAGCAATGGTAATTGAAATTAAAATTAAATTTGTACTGAAGATCAAAATTAATGGGGAAATTGTACTAATTCATTGAGGATATATGTAAAAAATACCAATATTGCTATTGGCACTAATAATAATTAATTTTGGTGATAGTAACTGTTTGGAGTAAAATAATAAGCTCTATAATAAAAGGCAAAATGAATAGAGCTAATTAGTTTAAGTGGACATGGAAAAATCGAACTACTATTGGCGTCAATAATGCTTAATTAATATTGGTATTTGGTGCTAATTGAAATAAAAAAATAAGTGAACTAAAAAGCAAATTTAATGGAAAAAATTATTTGTTTGTTATTGGGAACTGTAAAAAGTTGCCATGCTATTATTGGCAACAATAGTGCTTAATTTTGGTAATAATCTACTGGCATAATGGTAATTAGTGCAGTTTTAATGGGTAGAAAGTATGCTTTTATATAGCTTCCATATTTTATGAGTAAATTTGGTATTCATTATAGCTGCACCAATACTGTATATTTTTATGCAAAATTTTTTATGTCTCCTCACAGATATAAGTACCAGAGAAAGTAGCTTGATAGTGGTAAATTTTAAATATCATGATTTGTCTAGTGCAACAGCATTATGGCAGATGATATCGAATACAGTTATTCTTTATTTTGATGGAATGAACAACTAAGTGCATGTTTTGCTTAATCATGTAAAGCCATCATGAAGGCAGCCAATAATTATAAAAGAAAAAAACTTATTTCAGCTTTATTATTTGTCTTGTGTTTGTCTTAGTTTTCTGCATGATTTTGTAGTGTTTCACCCCTACGAAGAACGGATATTCAACTAGTAGATAATATAATACAGTACAGAACCCATTATCCGGAAATCAGAAAACCGGAAAACCAAAAAACCGGAACGAAGTTTGATAAATTTTCCCGCCATATTTTTAAAAAAAATGTTTTTTCCCTCATAAGATTTTNGGAAAAAAAAATTTTTTTTTTTTTAAATGGTGGGGAAATTTATCGAATTTCGTTCCGGTTTTTTGGTTTTCCGGTTTTCTGATTTCCGGTTAACGGGTTCCGTACTGTACTATTGACGTCAAATAATGCTTAATTAATATTGGTATTTGGTGCTAATTGAAATAGAAAAATTAGCTTACTAAAAAGCAAATTTAATGGAAAAAATAATTTGTTTGTTATTGGGAACTGTAAAAAGTTGCCATGCTATTATTGGCAACAATGGTGCTTAATTTTGATAATAGTCTACTGGCATAATGGTAATTAGTGCAGTTTTAATAGGTACCAAATATACTTTTATATAGCTATAAAGTATTTGAGTAAATTTGGTGTCTATTATAGCTGCACCAATACTGTAAATTTTTTATGGCTCCTCGAAGATATAAGTACTAGAGAAGGTAGCTTGATTGTGGTAAATTTTAAATATCGTGAGTTGTCTAGAGCAACAGCATTATGGCAGATGATATCGAATAAAGTTATTCTTTATTTGAACAACTAAGTGCATGTTTTGCTTTCTCTAATCATGTAAAGCCATCATGAAGGCAACCAATAATAATAAAAGAAAAAAACTTATTTCAGCTTTATTATTTGTGTTTGTCTTAGGTTTCTGCATGATTTTGTAGTGTTTCACCCCTACGAAGAACGGATATTCAACTAGTAGATAATATAATACTTGCATTGCTTCTCTACAAGTTTCCATAATCGTAAGATGTCATTTCTACTTGTGAAAGTAACATTAAAAGGAGAAGACGTATTGCTAGTACCAAAAGAGCTGTCGAGAGCAGACATTTTGAGCTTTGTCGTAGATGATTGGTGCATAGTTATTTAGGTCGTTTTAAATACCTGTTAACACAGCATCCACATCATATAACACATTGTACTCTGCCCTTAATATAAAATTTTGAATTTAAGGGCACTTTCAGAATTGTTTTTTTTAATTGAAGCATGATTCTTATTTTAATAACAATTATTAGGTCTGCAACTGAAGCTGCACCTCCAGCGGAAGGTCAAGAAGGTGCCGCTGAAGGTGGTGATGCACCTAAACCTCCAAATCCTCAGCATCAAGCTGCATCTAGAAGGTTACAACAAACTCAAGCCCAAGTTAATGAGGTAATGAAATACTTTAAAATTTAGATAAATAAATTTTTATTTATCTGCTAATGCTGTAGGAAAACTATCTTGTATATTTTTAAAGAAATGTAAGCTCATCTGAGCTGAAAGGTTATTGTTTTCAAAAGTGTTTGATTTAAATAAAAAGTATTTAAAATTAATGTAAGTTTTTTATCACGGGGAGGAACTATAACATCTGTATTTTAGGAATCTGATCTATTATCAGAATTTGTTTGTAAAACTCAATGCAAATTACCTTATTTTAATTAGGTTTTTCTTTAGATTTTTAAAAATCATGTCTTTAATCTCCTCAAATAATCTTTCTGAAGTGCAGGTCCTTGTTAAATATGTAATATGTTTTTTTTTGTAAATATTTTTCCTATTGAGATTTGTGATTCTTAAAATCTAAATGAAAACGGAAAAAGAATATTTCAAAAATCTTTCATTATTGCGTGAAAAAATGCAGCTATAACAAAAAATAAGACAGTTCCTATGAAAGTTGCAAATTAGTTGGCTTTGAAGTAAATTTGATCTTAATATACATTTTTTGTATTTTTAAATTTTCATAAAAATAAAACAGTTTTTTAAGTAAATGAAAGTAACTTTTATCAAGAGGCGAACATTTGATCTAAACTCATTTTCTTTTCTTTTTCCCCCCCCTTTTAATTTTTTTCCTTTCTTTTCTTTTTCCCCCTGTCTGTTCTTCTCCCTTTCTTTTCTTTTCCCTTTCTTTTCTTTTCCCCCTCTTTCTTTTCTTTTTTTTCCCCTGTCTTTTCTTCTTTTCCCTTTCTTTTCTTTTTTGCCCCTTTCTTTTCTTTTTTGCCCCTTTCTTTTGTTTCTTTTTCTCCCTTTCTTTTAATTTTTTCCCTTTCTTTTCTTTTTTTTCTTGAAAAAAAAAATTCTAATAACTTTAAAATTATGGTTTTACTTCTGCCAGTGAACTGGAAATTGTTAAAGAATGTACCCCTGATTATATTATATTGAGTTAAATTTTTCATGTGTTTAAGATTGATGTTTTTATCTTAATTTTATAACCATAAAGAGGCTTATGATTATGAAAATACACTGGTGAAACCGTTCGATGGGACAGATGGATTTTTTCTTCTTTGTAATAAAAAACTAACATAGCAAATAAAACAAAATAGGGGCATAACATGTACGCTCAATAAATAAACTGGTCGCTTGTCAAGCACAGCAGCTGACCAACACCACGACAGTCAAGAAAAACATGTTTAATAGGGTATATGATGGCTTCTTAACAGCTACAAAACTCTTGCATTGGTGTTTCATATTTTATTTCGGCGGTTTTTTTTCCAACAGGGTTTCGGGGGTCCTTATCAATCCTTTAACCACACCCACTTTTGCACCAAGACACTCCCTTGAGCTCATCCATGGTTAGTAGAGCTGAAATTTAATGTCCACGGGTCTCTCCTTGGCACCCATGTGACAGTCTTGGATACTCTATTCATTGAATATCCTCCAATCTTGTCTGTTTACCGCTAACCTGTCAGAGTACCTCTGTCAAACACATGAAGGTTAGTACCTCGCCCTGCTATGAAGTCTGCCTAGACCATCATACCTCTTTGACCATGGTGATAATTTTCGTTAATGTTAGATGGCCAATATCAATTCCTAGATTCTCTTCAGATAAGAACATGGCCTTAATCATCCTCTGTTAAAGACAGGTGTTCTCAGCATCATGCCTGACGGTCCTTTACGTGGTTCACGGTGAAAAGGACATGAACTACAGCGGGCCTAGCATACAGGCCACCTAGGCATATACTTATATTGTATTTTTCTAGTACATTTTTGTATGTAATTTTTTTCTCTGTTATATTTTACAAATTAAATTTTACTGTTGAAAAAAAAGATAAACTATTATCATGCTGAAAAAAAAGAAGGAATTTCGACACAACATTTTAACTACATTTATGTTATGGTATGTAATAAGGCAATCTTAGTATTATATTTGTTATATATTTATATTAGTTTTTAATTACTAACCCTTCTGGCAGCAAGCTGTTATATATTCCTCCAAGCTCTACAGGAAAAGCATTGATCTATTAAATAGCTTATGCCAGAAGGAATATTTATTTTGTGTTTGTTGATATCTTATTAATAAATCAATTAGAACTAAGCCTTTAACTTTACTTTTTTTTTTTACTGTAGGTTGTAGACATTATGCGTACAAATGTTGAAAAAGTCCTAGAAAGGGATCAAAAGTTATCTGAGCTGGATGATAGAGCTGGTACGTGAAGTTTGTTTATAACCATCTTTAAACTATTTTTTTAACATTTGAATGACTGAGCATTTTACATCTGGACCAATTTGTATAGAAATTTCTCTTCGATGTTGAAATTTCTTACACCGCATAAAAACTGGGTTTTTAGCAGGAAAAACCACAAGTGAAAGCACATTTTAGGTCTGATAAATACTCATTCATTTGAGATAACGGGTTTTAAAACATCTAGGTAGTATTCTTGTTTTCTAAATCCTTTGACATAGAATTTTTATTCAATATATTATACAGTAAAACCTTTTTTTGTGCGGTAGATAGGGACCGCATAAAAGAAATTGTACAAAAAAATTTTTTGAAAATTTTATAAATTCTTACATATAATAACAACTTTGTACGATATACAACCTAAATTTTTTTTGATGTGATGGTTAGGGACAGCATAAGAAAAGTCGGACTCAGAAAATACATCAATAATTCATGAAATAGATGAGAGAATGCTTTCAATTAAAATAAATAATTAAATTAGACCTAAAGAAATTCTAAAAATATTTAATTCTTCAATGTACATATACATGGAGAAGTTTTCAAATTATACATTAAATAGTTTGCTGCTATTCGTCGTAATCCAAAACGTGCATCTTCTTGTGATGAATTGGTTTAAAATCGCTTTCGTCGCTTCAAGATAGGATTTCAATTGACTTGTTTTTTGGTACCATAATGTCAGTGATCAGTTTTTGTGAAGACGGTCGACTGGTCAATTGCTTGTAAACGTCACGATAGTGAGACATGCATGATCTCAACTCTTTTTGGAATTTTAAGCGTGTTTCCGCATTGGTATCTATTTTACGAAAATGCGTTTCCAATTTTTTCGAAATATGGATCTCTGCAGGGCCAGATTTACGTATAAGCTAAATAAGCTGTAGCTTGGGGCCCCGAGATGACAAGGGCCCCCAGATCCTACTTCCCCCCTCTTTTTTTAAAGTTTTATTCGGAGCTGGGGCCCTCAGAAGCCCAAAATGCATTTTTTTTCTTTTTTACATTGTCGGACATAATAAATATAAATAAATGACTGAATAAAACAAAAAACTTCGTTGTCATTAGAAGGGAACATCATATCATATCATCTTTCAAGCAATTTGAGTATTAAAAAATTATATATAAATAAACAATTTTTTAGTTTAAAAGGTAAAAAAGTTTTTTTTTTGCCCCATCATTCGATTATCAGACTATTTAATATCTGTTTCTAAGGATCAGAATTCCCTTTTATTTTACTCTAAAATTGTACAAATGATATGTTTAACGCTTTCATGTGATATACAGCAGTTTTAAATAGCATTTTAAAATATCTAAAAAAAGGACAGAAATTGTCAGTTCAAAAAAAAAATTAACTAATACTTTTGAATAAGAATTTAAATAACTACACACGTTTGTTTTGCTATCTCATTCTATATAGCATTATTTAGAGTAGACAGTTGCGTGTGGGTGTGATGATGACGTAATAAAAGAGGCATACAAAAAAAGCAAATTTCATTTCAGTTAAAATCCTCAATATTATATTTTTAAACTCCTCGAAAATGTAGTAAAAGAGGTATACAAATTAACTGTCGCAAACAAATTAATA